TTTGCTAAATTCGGCGAGATGTGACAATATTTCCTGAGGCCTTGTAGGCGGCAGCACAGCACGAAGGATGAAAGAAAAATCGATCTTATAGATGGCGGAAAAAATCACGCGACTCTTAAGTGTATGAATGTGAGCCTTTTGGTTGCCAAATGTCGCATGACGTCCTTCTGATGTCATTTCATCTTGTATACGTTACATCGTTTGATGGAAGACCACAATACAATATACCGACAACACCAAAAAGAGCAAAGAAATAGCTTTCACCTTCCAAACGTCGTAGGCAATTGCAGATACGTTTGCGTGACTTTTTGGGCGAGGATGACAGTCACCATATCTCTTCGGAGCTAGGGTAGCTCCCGCATGCATGGAATAAAATATGTGGCCATGAAATATGTGTACATAAAGATGGATGACTGGCACTTTGCTTTTAAATCACTGCTTTGAATCTATACTAATATATCCTAGAAATAATAATGTTTGCACTTTTGCTTATACAACGTGTCCTTAGGCATGCAAAACGCACAAGAAAACAATTACTCAAGGCGTGCATCTGCGTCAATACGTGGATGGTTGTGTTTAATACAGACTGTTGAAGTTGTCCTTTCTTTGGCGCGGCATAGAAACTTGCGTTTTAAATTGCGATACCAGCACGTAACTTACTTAGAGCTAACAACATGCATGCATGGCAGCTTGTAAGTGCTGCTCGCCAGCAGTGAAAACCCGAATACGAGAACATGCAAAATGCGATGGCTGCCAGAACATACTCGGCAGCAAACTGAACAATCGCAACTTACAAAAGTTGTTGTGTTCTGTCCACCTGAGCAAAATAGCATCTCGATTTATTGATTGAATGACTAATTAAGTAATTGATTGATTAACTAATTGATTGATATGCAGGGTTTAACGTCCCAAAACCACCATATGATTATGAGAGACGCCGTAGTGAAGGTCTCCGGTAATTTCGACCACCTGGGGTTCTTTACCGTGCACCTAAATCTGAGTACACGGGCCTACAGCATTATCGCCTCCATCAAAAATGCAGCCACCGCACCGGGATTCAATCCCGCGACCAGCAAAATGGCATCTCGAGCTCTTAATTTCTGAAGAAATGGTGAGCCACTAGCTTGCTGATATTTATTTATTATTTGTAAGTAAGAATTGTTGGTGTTCTGCGTGGGAAAACCACATTATGGGTGTGAGACACGCTATATCCAGGGCATTTGACAATGCAACCATCAAAGACGTCTTAACTTACACTTAAATCTATTTGTTCACTTTGTGTATCTGAATGCTTGTCAGAATTGTGCAATGAGCGCAGGTGACTCGACGTGTCTGCTTACGACTCGTTCACCGCTATCAACTTTTTTTTTCTGAAGTCCACATCACAACATTTGTAGCATCGCACTTTGACTCATGCGAATCCCTGTATTTTGCTGCAGCTGCCATTCAATAACAATCATAGCTATACAAACTGAGGCAGTTCCGGATGGAGCGATTTGGTTCATGGGATCTTTAAGCGGTTGAATATATCTTCGAGTGCATAAAAGAAAGGGTTTTCGCAAGATAAGGAGAAAGTAACGCTAATGCCCGAGAATTATCTTTTAAGAAACCACTGCAAGATTTTACTCGAAAATGCCTCATTTGCAGTTTCTAAAGTCCACGTTTAACTTATTAGCTAAAGCTACACGCAGTCACCAGTTGTGCCTCATGGATATCTATAGGGTGAAAAGACACAAGAATTATCCTATTGCTTAAAGCAGCTAGCTTTCGCATATCTTCTGCCAGCTTGGTAGTAATCGCCGTTATTTTCGCGCTTTCGAAACTGGCGAGATAGTGAAAACACTTTGATAGCTAAACTTTATTGTTTTGCCTTCTCTATTGTGTCAGGCATGCGCAGTTTGTGTTTTTTTTCTTCTCTACGAATAAGAGCTCATCTTTTTCATACGCCAGACAACCCACAAGGTTCCAGCGGGCTTCATTCGGTATACTCATTACACGCAATAGATTACTGAACGGACTAGTGAGAGCAAGCAAAATCACTAACGGCAGTTGTGGCCAGAAATACGCCCCTGTTAAAGGAGTAAAGGCGCACTACACTGACTGTTTTGTGATTACACTTTCATAATGCAGTGCACTTGCCATAAAGCTGAAGATTTACGTGCAATCCTCAAACAGTTTTTTTTTTTTACCGTACGACTCAGAAGTTGATTTATTTATTATTGGTAATAGGAGAAATTTTAAGCAGCAATGTTCACAGATTAACGCAACATTTCGCACATGCGCATGTAGCCAATTGATACTCCAGTCATATCAATTCTAATTATTATGTCCTGGTTGTCACAGTACATCCTGAGTAGGGCATTACCCACTTGTCTAACTCTGTGGCCGAACAGAGCAGAAAACATTTTGAATCGCACACAGGAATGCCCTTCGGCTCGTTGTCCGCGGTGTCCTGCAACGATGTTCGCGAATTAACTATAGCCGACATAAGAAGTCCTGTGCAAACCGCGTAAAATACGTTAATACCCACATGAGTGTGGAGAAAGTACAGGAATATTGCAGGTCAGACACATAAAACGCACACCAACTAGAAGCGCACACATTGTCGTGCTTTGTTTGTGTGCCAGAGGCGTAGCCAGGGAAAGGCACACTGGGCCCGTGCCCCCTCCTTCTCTTCTCCCTAAACTTGTTTCGCCATGGCATAGAAAGCAGGAATTGACTATTTCAAAGGTATGCGCCCTCCAAAATCAAGAAGGTGCCCCCATCCTCAAAAAAAAAAAAAAAGAGTGGCTACTCGCCTGGCGTGGGCCTGTTCTATGTTTCCAACTTGTTGTTCTCTTCTTCGCGTAGTTTAAACTTGTCCTTAAAATCGATGAACTTAATAAAGCGCAGCAATATACCCCATCTCTTGTGAAACGTAAACGCATCGCACGACCTACTTTTATAATAAACCTCGAAAACTACAAAGCAACATTTGTTTCTTTTTGTATTTCACCTCTCTTGTCGTTAGTGCGCAAGGCAACATGACACTTGAAATGGCTAGTAAGAGCGCTAAAGCACAATCGCAGAGGTACAGTACCCGTGAATTGACATGAAACAATGTTTTTTTTCGTAATAACGAGCTCTTCGGAGAATTTATACACTTCACCTCGTGGTTTCATTGCAAGTCTCTCCGATAAACGTCATGTAATGGTTTGATATGCGGGGTTTAACGTCACAAAACCACCATATGATTATGAGACACGCCGTAGTGGATGGCTCCGGAAATTTCGGCCTCCCTGGGTTCTTTAGCGTGCTCCTGAACCTGGATAGACGTCATGTCGGCTATGAGGCAGGTAACTCAGCATTACGTCAATTTGAGACGAACCGTAGAAGCTGGAAATCATAGTACGAGCATTACTTAGCAACGTAGTTTTTCGATTCGATCTGTGAGTATATTTCATTTTCATTTTATTATACCCCTCAGGGCCAGAGGCATTACAGAGGGGGAGTGGTAAAAGCACAAAAAGGTAACAAAATAAAAGGAACAAAATATGCAAGTACAATAGAGACGCACTTTAGAAAGAGCCTGAGTATACAATATTAGCTACAGAATTGCGAAAATGTTTACAGTTATTAATGTTTACAATGTCAGCGGGAAGGCCATTCCAATCGCGAGAGGTTCGTGGTAGAAATGATTGATAAAAGTACTCAGTATTACATGAAGCGAATCCAACTTTGTGACGATGATCAGTGCGATGGGATACATAAGATGGTTGAGGGATGAGTCGATCGCGCAGATCAGGATGATGATACATTTTATGAAACAAGGCAATGCGTGACACTTTTCTGCGCAGTGATAATGATGGGATGGAAAGGTCTGATTTCATAGAAGTTATGCTGGCGGTGCGACTGTAATTAGCGCGAATGAAACGTACAGAGTTGTTCTGAACCATCTCTAGAGCAGTAATTAAGTTGATATGGGTGGGATCCCACACCGATGTAGCATACTCTAATTTCGATTGGATTAGTGTTTTATAGAGCAGGAGTTTCAAGGAGGAAGGAACGTGATAAAAATTTCGACGAAGATAGCCTAACATGCGGTTAGCTTTGTTAATTAAGTGCTCGATATGAGCAGACCAGTTTAGGTTTGCAGTAATGTAAACACCGAGGTATTTATATGAAGTTACTGATTCTAAATGAATGTTATCAATGTGGTATGGTGGTGGACGGGAAGATTTTCTGGAAACACGCATGACTTTACATTTATTAATATGGCAGTTCTCTGTTACGTGCGCCCCACTAAGCTTGCGGAATTTCCGTATGGATCAGCCTTACAGTTCCAAATAATGCCTCCAACTGTTAGCATCGAGAGTGATTCTCAAAAGTGCATTTTAGATGAAGGCGAAAATGCTGTAGGCCCATGGTCTGAGAGTTGGCTGTACGCTAAAGAACCGCAGGTGGTCAAAATTTCCGCAGCCCTCCACTACGGCGTCTCTCATAATAATATGGTGATTTTGGGACGTTAACTCCACATGTATATCTGTCCCCATATGAAGCCTAATACATTTGCGAACGTCGAGGAGAAAAATGCCATTGCGGATAAGTTCGAAAGTCTAAAGTTTGCTGAAACAACCGCAATTATCGAGCGTCCGGCTACTGACAAGTGTGCGAACTTTGTGAGTGTTCAGAAGGATCAGGCTTTATCTTTTAGATTTCAGCACGGCGCGTTCAACAAGAGTGCTGGATCTGAAGAAAGAAAGCGAGGGGTTAAAGGCCCCTCGTGCTCTATGCCGCCACAACAATCCACCCCCTCTTATCTTTTTTCTTGTTTTTTAACCTTCTTTTCTATCTAAAATCCCGTTTTATTCTTCGTCTAAGGTAGGAAAGTACGCCCATATTTTTGCGCGCACGTATATATTGTTTTTTTTTCTGTTTTTCATGAACCCTGCTCCTATCGTTTCGTGCCAGGGGGTGGCGCGCACTACTCACTCCACGGGAGAGGGGGTGCCGTGACGCAGACGCCACCGCCAGGCTGCCCATCAAAAAGGGCCTCCGCCGGAGGGGACGCTACCAATTCGCGCCCAACTTCCGACGGTTCGTGGTAGGCACTTGCTCCTTCGTGCAGTACTTCGCAGCCATGCCCGCCATTCTGTACAACCTCCCCGGCAGCCCACCCTGTGGCTTCGTTCGCTCACTCGCCAAGCACCTGGGAGTGGAGCTTACGCTCAAGGACGTGGACTTTGCGAAGAAAGAACACCTTAGCGAGGAATACCTCAAGGTATGTGGGCGTGACTTGTCTCCGTAGGTTGAAGAGGGCTAGTTTTCATCAATTGATGAGCTCAACAGCGCCTTTGGCGTGAAACAGTTGAGTGAAATGGTTCTTGAAATCCTTTATTTGTAAATAACGAACGAGAGAAGATCGGTGCGCCGTGATGATGTATTGGGCAGTTGACACAGGTTTTCCGTATGCCTCTCTACGTAATGTTTTCTGTGGTTCGCCCTTTGTACCAATTCAGTAATTACGAATGTATCGATAATTCACGTTCCGGCGCCTTCAGTGTATTTTTCTTGGCCGGTTCATCGCTCATCGAGTGCGTATTTAGAGTGCTCTTGTTTGTGCTAAGAGCATGCCGGTCTCGCATTGGCCGTGAGTTCGCCTCGTTGACTTTCCTGTGCCCTGGCCTGTGTGAGAACCACTCGTAGGCATTTTATACGCCGGCATTATGAAGTCCTTCAGTATATCGCAGTCCTGTTACTGTTACGTATCCGCATATCATCGGAACTTGTCTTCCTTCACGTATTCAGCCATGCTCTAGCCCTCCGTGCCGCAACGTTATTTCAAAATGCTGGTTTTTCATAACCCATTGTTGTTGTATACATTTCTACTTGCACATGTTTTGTGCACGTTTCTTCGCTTCCAGCCTTAAGAGTGCGAAGGTGACATCGCAACCCTTTTTAATGTTCTCGCAACACAGCCACAAAATCCTCGTACTACTCTTTTTTTTCGACTTTATTCAATTTTTCTGCATTATGATGCCTCAGCTGTTTCCGCACTTCTGCTAAGATTATTTTCCCTGCTTTTGCAAGCCCAGTGCTGTGGGCACCTCTTTAACGTCGGCAAAGCATTTGAATAAGTAATAAATCCAGTTCAATGTAGCCTTTGCATGCAACAGGTGGGTCAGTTCTGGTAGTAGAGCGTTCCTTTGGTGGTCCTCTACAAGCAAATCTTTCCTTTTACGCTTTCCACACTTTCTTCAAACCCGTCTCTGCATAGCATTTCCGGAATGCTTGCCATGCTGCTAAATACACCCACTTTAACCTCTCTTAGTCTGTCACATGACATGCGTTTCGACTTCTTTCACTTATTCTTATCCACACTGTTGTTTTAGTGTGCGTTACACAATCCCTGCCTCGCAACTTCTCGTTTGCAACAATATCCTCTTCGGCTCACGCTCGGTTTAGTCGTCCGCATTGTTTTGACTAAACATCCGTGCTTCTCCTTTGCAGATCAACCCATTCCACAAGGTGCCTACCCTCGTCGATGACGGCTTCGTTGTCTACGAGAGGCAAGTATATTATCCTCCTTCTGTTGTATCTTTCAGATTTTCGTTCCCCACTTCGGCTGTCTCTACCAACCATCATCAGTGCGTCTAGTTTGTTTCGGCACCTTCTACTGTTATGCTTATTAACAATTTCACTTGCTATTTTCGTCATGTAAAAATAAACTTAAAAAGACTTCTCCTGCGCGTTTTTGCTACTTTTTTGTAGTCTCCCAGCTCACTCAACCCAAATCTCTTTGGCGCTAGCCCCCTTCCACTGCTGGCCTTGCTGCCAAGCATCCCTTCCCCCCTCCCCCCCCCCCCCGTCTTTCATCGAATGTACTCTATCCGACCTTGTCATTATAGCAGCCTTCCTTCACTTGAAAGCGATCGCCCGCACAATGCATCCTCTATTGTGCCGACTCGGCCAAAGAATTGCGCCAGATGGGCACTGCCTTCGAGTTTCCTGCCCGTCTGTGTCGGCGTCACACCTTCCTCCTCCACCGCCCTAGCAGACTTTTGTTCGCTCCGGGAATCGGTCTTCCCATGCACGGGTGCAGATTTACTACGTTTGCATTTCTTCACTTCCCTCCCGCTCGTTTCCCACCCTCGCCATAACGTCGTTGCGCGCCAGTATTTCCCGTAGAAAACCTACAAGCATTACCCTTCGTTGAGCTATGGAACTCTGCTCGTCGGCTGATTTTCTTGACCCTACTGCCGCAGCAATGCCATTGCCTACTACCTCCTGCGGAAGTATGCTCCAGAGTCTGATCTCTACCCGGAGTGCTACAAGGAGCGAGCACGCATCGACCAGTGTCTCGCCGCTGTTGCCAGTACTATCCAGCCACATCAACTACTGTTCTTCGTGAGTGCTTTCACAACACAATTCAATGTCGAAAATTTGCCTAGCCACTAAACTAGAGCCGCTTCATTAATGTACCCAGATAGTGTCCACGCAGGCCTTAACTCATTACTGATTTAAAACTGTCACTTTAGTGACAATAATTACACGTTTCAGTGCCCGATTTTCGTCGGCAACGAAGTGTGTCATCGGGTACCACATCTCGTTTACTTCTTTTTAGCTTTATGTTAACCTGCTGTCATTTGAGAGCAGTTCTTTTTATGCAGCAAACACGTCACTGAATCCCGCTGAGTAGGCGCATACTGACGTTCCCTATCGCAGCGATTTCTCATTTTTGCTGTTCTCAATCTTACTTGCCCCTCTGAAGCTTTCTAGCTTCCCCTTTCGTATGAATGCGATCATGATCTTTGTTGCTAATTTACGCGGCTTTGATTCGTTTATCATTCACACGCATTTCATTTCCAGCGTCCACGCTTCTGGGAGAACAAGAAGCCAACTGACGAAGAGGTCACTGCCTTCGAAGAAAATGTTCTTAAGGGCTTTCAGTATCTCGTGACGGACCAGTTCGCCACCGGCGACAAGCTCACGCTCGCTGACCTGTGCCTCGTAAGCAACCTGGCCATCTCTCTCGAGGTATGTTGCATTCTTCAATAGTACTTTCGTCGTTTTGTTCAGCAGTCAATTTTTTTTCTGTTTCCTATATTGCCTGCACCTCCTTTCGTTACTGTTTCTTGTGCAGTAATGGTCATCTCATCTGTCTTTTGCCGGCGCATTTGCATTTCCATTCCCATTCTTGACATTGCTGTATTCTTTAAAACAAGTTTTTTTTATCTGAGCACTCCTTCTCTCCTTTATTCGCTGCGCCCTTTTCAGAATGGGTCTGTGGATGCTTCAAAGTTCCCTAAGCTGGCTGCCTACTACGAGCGTGTGAAGCCTGAGCTTGCCTACTTCGAAGAAATCTACAGGCCGTCTATCACCTACCTTCAGCAGCGTTGGAGCGAGCTTAAATGAAGTTAGCCACAATATCAACAATGTTTACCTGACTGTTTACGATTTTGTCTCCTATACAATAAAATATATTTTTCTTTTACCTGTTGTGTCACCAAGTTTTAATACCGGAATTCTGAAGCCCTTGGAGCATCTGTCCTTAGTTTCCACACGCTTTACTAACCTGCGTTAAAGCATTCCAGCTTGTTTTCATGCAACAATAAAGTCTGTCCCACAGCACATGCCACTCAGTGGTCTAAACACGCAGGTGATAGCCGGAGCACTTCAGCGCATGCCGGTTCACATGGATGTGGTGTGCAGCATTCCTTATCTTGATATCATCTTAAGGACGTGCGGGCTTTGATCATTCCTATGTGCACCGCACGAACTCTTAAAACTTTCTCAGACTGAGCTCCCCAAGTCCACATAGGTCTTTTTTTTAATTTCCAGCTCGTCAGGAATGACGTCCTTTCTTAAGTTTCGACACCGTTCTGCCTTTGATTTTGGCCTGCGGGGAGGGGGACAGTCTCCTATGCATTCCCCTCGCCACTAAACCAGAACTTGTTAAGATAAATCTTCCCATAATGCTGGCGGAACACTGATAATTGCTTTATGCGTAAATGTGCTCGTCGCATAGGGTTCTACGCCTGTCTCGAACATAACAGATCATGGTACAATAACCGTATGACCTATCAATGTCGCGGGCTTGAAGTTAGCTTCTGGGCGCATTAAGACTTTTGCAGAAACTTCATGCAAAACTTGGGATCATTGCTGAAAGGCAGGCTGTTCAAGTGAATTACCCCTGCTTTATATACGAAGAGAAAGACGGAGCACTGTTGAATCGCTGACTTTGTGTATGTTGGCTTATTACGAAAAAGATGAGTGCGAATAGGGCCTCGTGGCAGAGGCCATATTCCGAAATCTTTTTTTGCATGCACTGCGAGTAAAATACTGTTTGAACGCATGGTTATTTCTGCAGTTCGCCGGGAATCTTAGTATAACTGAATTTGAAAGCTTTATGCAGTCGCCGTACACTTGCATGCTTGTAGTACTTTGAAGCGTAGAATATATTGCAGTCTTTTAATTTCCAAGGACAAGGTCGCAGGCTCTGGCGGCTGCATTTCCGATAGAGGTGGAAATGTAGGCCCAAGTGCTCAGATTTTGGTGCACGTTAAAGAACCCAAGATAATCGAAATTCCCGAAACCGTGCACTACGGCGTCTCTCATAATGATATGGTAGTTTTGGGACATTAAACCTCGCATATCAATCATTAATTTTCAAGGACATGCCGCGGTGGTCTAGTGACTGAGATAGTCGGCTGCTGAATCGAAAGTCGCGGGATCGAATGCCGGCTGCGGCGGCTACGTTATCAATGGAGGCGTAAATGCTGTAGGCCTGTATGCTAAGATTTAGATGCACGTTAGAAAAAAACCGGGTGGAAGAAATTTCCGGAGTTCCTCACTACGGCGTCTCTCAAAATCATATGGTGGTTTTGGGACGTATAACCTCACATATCAATCATTTCCAAGTTCAATCTTGGTTCGAATGACATAGCCTAACACCTTTACGCTACAATGACTCGTGTAATATGTCATCCTTCACGCTCAGGCTAGGTACAGTCTGAAGTAAACGACTGCGCGAAGAACAAGTGCGGATAGTGAACGAAGGACAAATAGCAGTGTGCGATGTTCGCAACCAGTAGTTCTGTAAAACAAACTATCTGGAACGCCAGCGCAGCTGATATAGTACTCCTTGACTCGAGTAGATGTGGCTCTTCGTCTAAATGAGAGAAAACATGAAATACAAGCTTCTCGCCGATTTCATGTCTTTTGCAGCAAAGAAAAAAATTCAAACTATTTCCACGCTACAAATAGCGTAGAACATGAAGCTGGGCGAGTGCTTGACGGGAAATAGAACAGTTTTTCAGTGTGCCTTGGCACTGATTTATCGCTCACTCGATGATTCGATGAGCAGATGGTGTGTGAACAATGCAAACAAGTTTTTGAATGCCGTTAACTGCCACTACTAATGCGACCAAGCTGTACTACAATATTTGTGCAGAAATAACAGAGTAGTGTGGAAGGAGATGTGCGTTTCTGCATGTATTCGTGCTCCACCATAACAACGTGCTTTGAAACCAGTTTTGTTGGGTGAACTTGCTTGAAAAAAGTTGCACGTGCATGAGGGAGGAGTGTACTTGTGACACCACAGTTCACTGACAATATTCTCAGAGCGGCGTGCATTTAGAGGAAGCAAATACGAATGAAGACCCATACAAAACAAATTAAGCAGTAATAACTTTATATGAAAATTGTCTGAACTATACTAGATTGAACAATTCTTCTATATAAGCGGAAATAAAAAGATCAATGTGTATTCTAGTCATAAGCTTTTGTAACACAGTTTTCTTTGGTTTACACTGGGTTACATTAACAGTTTCATGTCACTTTGAAAAATAAAGCAGCATGGTAGGCATTGAAACCTTAGGAATATAACCTATAAAACGCCGTAACTCATCCCTCAGGTCTTACACGAGGGAGTGGAAGGTTACAGATCAATGTGTCAATATCACGAATCTGCATTGCTCAAGGCTGGCTGGAGCAGTGAAACAGCGGATAATGTATAAACAGAAAAGGTCATGACGGCATAAAAGCAAATCATAGTAGGCAGTGCTTTCACATTTTGAGATACTGTGTCAAGCGATGTGTGGCGTATTCATTGAAACTTCTGTTCAATAAAGTGAGTCCACTTCGAAAACACGCAAATAATAAAGTGGCTTAAAATACGAGCAAACTTGGGCAGAAGGGGCATATCTAGAAACTTTTTCTGGGGGGGGGGGTGGAGGGGCACCTTCTCAATTTCGGGAAAGGCACCATTTAAAAATTCTTATTTTTTGTGCTGTATACCAAGGAGACAAAACAATTGGGGTGGGGGCGGGATGGCACGGGCCCGGTGTTCTACCTGCTGGCTAGACCACTAATGGGTAGAATTGCAGAAAAGCTGCCAGGCCTCCACTGAATGCGCAGCACTGTCACAGGAAAAGCTAGAAGAGCGGCCTTTACGAGCCTTTGTTAAAAACTCTTTTGGTAGCTGCTGCAAGCACACTTGCAGAGTACCCACTGAGCTAATATTCTTTGTGTAGTAGACAGGCATTCACTCTCGTCATTCTTCGGAGAAGCGTAGTATCCGCTAAACACTTGCAACGAATTTCTTGGCAATTTTCTTTTTCATTCAGTGGCTGACGTCGATAAGAGCAACGCTCTATGTGGAAATTTGCTACTTCTATTACGTGATGAAGTACAAACTTTTGTAGTGAGTCAGAACATTCAACTGACCCACTGGTTATGCGATTCGCATTGTGTGATGCCTTAAAACGCACTAATATTATATTCTAAAACGCTTCATTACTCATATTAACGTGATTCATTTCCCGACAATAAGCCTACCTAAGCAAGTGTGTGAACGAGTCCTAAGAAAAGGCGTGTCTCAGCGGCAGAATACCGGCTAGCATGTATTAACCGATGTTCGGATCCCGCTATTTCCTTAGCGTTTTTATTGAGTTTTGCTTTATTTTGTGCCATAGTGGTTACGGACATCGGCGGCGGCGGTAGTAGACAACCACGCCGCCGCGCCTGACCCACGTTGTGATCTGATAATTGCTTTCGCTTTAAAACCAAGGGCCTTCTTCTGTTGCCGAAGATTTCTTGAGACAACTTCCTAAGTTACCTTATCTTGCTTTTATGCCACGGCACACAATAAAGCATGGCAACACAATAAAGCATTGTGAGTACTTGGCAGCGAACAAAAATAAACGAACGATACAATCGAATAGATATTCACTGGCGCGAAAAAATTGTGTTTCATGACTGAATAGAATTTATTCGAAAATCCATGTCGGGTCTTTTACAGTTTACTGTGTGTTTTTTTTCCATGGGAAATTTAACAGGCCGTAGCGTACAGCAAGCATCAAGCCACAGCGTTACACCATCAACGCTGAGTAGTTATCAGTTTGTGAACACAGGAAATAAGTCTAAGTTCACAAAACAGCGTGCGATGTCTGCTTTAGTAAGTGCGCATAGAGAGATGAGTGAGCTCGGCCTGAGGCAGAATTGTGGCGTCCTCCAGGCCCACTTTATCGAAAGACCGTCGGCGTCATCTCTTTTGGGCTTTACAAAGTTTAAGGTGTATGCCGGGAAGAGAATATAAATCCGAGGTGGTTGGTGCGGGGATTGAAGTCGCGCTTGGGCTACTGCTTGTTTCACCGACTTAACTAAGTTGTACGCTTCGCGCTTTCATGACATGCGTAGTTTAATGTTCTGCACGAGAACGGCTTGTAACTGGTGATACAGTGAATAAAGACAGTCATAAACGAGCGCGATCTGCTGCAAATCAACGCGGAGGCAATGCAACGGGGTATCTTTTCAGTGCGCTCCGCGGCCATTGCAACTAACTGCATTGCTAACTCTTCGCCTGTCTGAGACAGACAACTATCGAGCATGTGGCATCCGTTCTAACGCTTACCTAGGAGAGTAGCAAACGTGATATACAGGCAAGAAATATTCTAACTTCATCAAGTTATTCGTTTGTGTATATTTGTTTGTGTCTCATGCTTACCTGAATTCATGCTCATTCTCATGCTGCTGTAAAATATGGGTCGTGTCAGAAAAATAAATCATGCCAGATTTTTATGCAATGCCTTGTTAAGCAGTATTCACTCCGTGTTTGAACTTACAATACAGATGTTTCCTAGTATATCATCGATAATTTGACTTGGAATATTTCTTATCCTAACCGTTCGTGTGAGAAACGATGAAGAAAGGAAGTTTAGTCTTTCACATGTATGAAAGCTCGATATGTTCCTGGGTATGTGGTTATAGCGTGAGATTGGCTGTGCGTGAGCTTCTGTATGTAAGAGAGAGAGAGAGATGATCAGTGTGTTTGCGTGCGTGTGCACGTGTTGCGATGTCTGTGCATGTGTGGCCGTGAGCATGTGTGCTTGTGATGCCGTGTGTGTGTGACGCCGTGTGTGTGTGAAAGCGAGAAAGAGTGGATGAGTGAGGTGCTCGACTGTGTATGTGTAGCCATGTGC